AAGAACAAAAAATCATCTCAGTATTTAGCAAATTGGCTATGAAAAATCGTAGCCGTTCGTAGCCGAACCCATCCCTAGTTGCATCGATGGTTTTTTTTTTTTTAAGTTTGCTTAGACCCGAAAATTCTGCTACGCTGTATAAATACTTGTGTAACGTCGATCCCGGAGGTTATCGGATTCGAATGTCCCCCATGCTCAAAAAAAGTATTTGACACGTATGCTAATCCGAAAATATAAACTTCCAAACATAATCATGACTATACAATCAACGCCTGTTCTTATGGCCTTTTACCATGTTGCCCTCGTAAAAAAAGATCTTCAAGAGATTGCAAATTCTAGTTTCGATTTTGATACAACTCGCAAAAGAAAAGCCCAAGAAATCATCGATAACTGGAAGGTACACGTTTCGTTCGGTTAGATACTTGAGATAGTTAAGAGATTAGTCCATACAGTGATGAACTGTTAGTTCGACGCTTAGTGCAAGCTGGGACTGTTAGTCTGCCAGTGATGAATTGCTAGTTCGACACTAGTGCAAGCTGGGACTGTTAGTCTACGGGGACAATCTCTCGACACTTCCATTTTATATCTTTATTGAAAAATATCATCCTACGGGTATTACTAATTTGTATTTTTTTTTGCCAAGGAATGGACTTATTCGATAAAGAATCTGAAAAAAGATCAGCGAATCAATATTCAGGTAAAATTATAATCCGAAAGTTTATGAAAGAACAAAAAATATTGAATTATGTTTTCAATTAGGTAGAACAACAAATACTTGCATCTGAAAGTGCAAATCAGAACATTGGTACCATAAACAACCATTGTACAACTCTTGGAAAACGGCAAAATGATGATTCAGAAAGAACTTTCAAAGAAAAATGCCAAGATACAGGGGATAGAAAAACTATAAATGAGCCTGTGAAAATCACTGATGACCCGAAAAGTGATACACAAGCGATTAATACCATACAAAATTTAGATGAAAAACAAGTTTCTATAATTAATCGATTATTAGAAAACATTTTTTAATTTGTTTTTTTATAACTTTCTTTAGAAAAAACTTGCAATACGATATAGTCTCAGAGAACAAAAAGAAATAAACTATGCTGATGTTTCAGGCTCAAATATAGATCCATATCATGTAATTATCCTTGTTGCTTTTTTTCTCGTAATAAAAAATATACAATTCTTATTATTCTTTATTTTGTTTTAAAATCTATTAAGTGTCAAGCATTTAACTCCCTGTCAAACAACCCAGATTCTTCGATTATATCATTAAATAAGCCAATCATATCGGAAACAACATATAAACTAATTTCTACACATATAATATGCACGTTCAAATCAACGTTACATTTGGTTAAAGAATCTGTCGAAGAAAGCTTATTTGAGAAGATTGAAAAGCTTCTTAATACACGAAACAAACTAATTTTATCAAAGCAAATAATACAAAAGCTTGAAACAATTTTGAAGCAGATTTTTCGGAAATTTCTTTGAAAATAATAATAGAAACGGAAAGTGAAAAAAATATAGAAAAAACTGAGGAATCACAATTTCTTTTTTTCATTAGGCATGCCCTTCTCGATTTCATCGCAATGTTTAAAAATCTATCACCAAAGGTATTGAATTGGGATATGTCCGAAAGGATGTATATAGTTGAATCTATTTCATCTATTTTTCGATCTTTCAGAAATGCATTCCCTGAAATTAAATATGAATGGATCGAGAAGAATGTTAGATCAGTGAAGGAAGCAGGAAACATGTTTGCAATTAATATCAAGTCTCGAAAGACTAATCTCCTAGTTATAAGGCTCTCTGATGCAACTGAAATCTTACATGTTGAAGTTTCTGGCCCGCCTTTTAAAGCAGATAAAAAACACATGATCAGTGACATTAAAAAATTGCTAATGATAGCGGTTTGTAACCTTTGTAGAATCTTAGCAAATAATTACGATTGTCTGATTGATTACGCAAAAAAGTTAAATCGTACAGTATTCAGGCAATTGGTAACAAATTAATATTATTTTCCGTATCACTTATTGATAAAAAAAAATACTTAGCAATTGAATTAGCTTCCTGTGTAATTTCCTTTTCGTTCGAAGAAATTGGGTGTTATACAAAAATTTTTAATTTTTTTGCTATTATAAGGAATAAGCTCAATGAACAAAAAAAACTTTTAAAAAAATTTCGTACTTTTGTGCCTTCTATAGAAGATGATACTAGTAAACTACGAGAATAGATAAACTTACCGGAAGATAATCTAATACCTGTAACAGAAGAGGAAATAGATGAACTTTTTTTAAATAATGAATGAAAATTTTTATTATACAATATATTATTATTATAATAGGTTTCATTAGTTATAGAATTAATTTGTAGTTATGGGGTAATAATATTTTGGATTTTATTATGGGAGAAATGAATTATAAATATAGTAAATGGGAATGATTTCTTTACATGTAAAAATCTTATTTTCTCTGTATTACGAGTCATTAATTTGATTCCAGCACATGAAACCATATTTTCAGTTTCATAATTACATGTTGCAATTCTGATTATTATCTATGATAATAAATAACATTTGAATAATTTGCATTTGTATAAAGTTATCATTAAACATGCAATCCGAAATTGATTTGTTAAAACAAGTGAATATCAAACTTATAGACAAAATCACAGAATTAAAGCCGATCGTGAAAGAAAAAGAAAAGGTTGAGATCAGAACAATTCCAAGACGTAGGATCGCACATGATTTTCTGACGCATATCAGGGAAAGTCTCTGGACACATTATAAATCTAAAACCTATCACGTGATAGTATACCTACCCTCGAATATTCTACAGACAGAGCAAGATCATGTGATACTATAAAACCTGCTCTGTCTCTGCTCTGTCCCTAACCGCTAATTAACAAATCACATGATTCTTCTCTGTCCCTAAGCTCTGTCCGTAGAATATTCGAGAATTTCCGACCTCCCTAAAGTAAAAGGCACGTGATCGGTGGGTGTCCGGAAATTTCCACCAAAATACTAATAAAATTTTTCGATCACGTAAAATTATCCAATAACAAATCACGCCTTGGTGTAATGTAACACGATCATGAAGATCAAAACAAACCGTTCGTTTTCAAAAAATCTCTCTTTACTCAAGATTTTGCCTAAGAAACCACTTTTCATGCTCTAACAAAAAAAATTCCTTGGATAGTTTTAACATAAACGAACTCTAAAGAATTTTGGCACTATCACGTGATCGAAAAATTTTGGTGGAAGATGTGTCCGGAGACTTTTCCCATATCAGCCAATCAAAGAACAAATGTTCGCTTTGCAAAAATCGCATTTATCTCAAAATTTAGTAAACCATCCTTGGAGTCCTAATAAAAAATTTTTCTTGTGCAATTTTGCTATATTATTTTTCTTCCTAACTTTAGCTCAACAACGTTGTTTTCCGACTATCACGTGACAGTAAAATCGATCCTACTTCCTGTGTTATGATCCGGGTCGATCGTAAACAATATATCGATTGAAGTTGAATAGTTTAAATCATTAAATTAACACACATTATCATAATTTATAAGGTTTCTCTTTATTATATTTATTATAGAAAGGGTATTTAATACATATTTGCTTACAAACAAACTAAATGTACCGAACGTTCACTCACTTTCTAATACCCTTTGACCCTATCTGAGGGCCACAAACCCTTATTAATGATTCTTTAACCCTTATCAAGGGTCCTTAACTCTTACTGAGGGTTAATTCCCTTTACAATGAGCCATTGAAATTTTACCCAAACAGGAAATTTGATAGAATAAAATATGTATATACTAACCATATAAAGATAATAACAAAGAAAGCGAAAAAAATAAATAAAATAAAAAAATAAACTTAGACGTAACACCTGTCAAAATTTTGAGATCAGAATCATTGAATTAAACAGATTAAAAAGTTAAATCAGACAGAAAATGCTGGACTCAAAGCTGAAATTGCAAAATTAAACTGTAAAAATGTATTTTAATAACTCAAGTATTGCTGGGAGAAGAGCCAATTATCGAATATTGTCCAACTTTTATGAGGGAATTAGAACTTGATGCTTTCATCGAATTGCATTAGAAGTGCAAGGGGCACAACATCGGTTCTATCATAAAATACTGACATCCAAAATCTCGACATGACAAAATACTAACATCACACGACGTGACAATTAAAATTTAAAGCCTGACAATGATTGTTAATTTTTAAATACAGTCAGACCTCTCTAAATGCATAGTCGAGGGGCAGCCAAAAAATCTTGCATTTAGGAGATAAAAATTTATAAGTGTTATATTGGGGCTAAATAAGGCATGTATTTAGAGAGGCTATGCATTTAGGGAATATGCATTTAGGGAATATGCATTTAGGGAATATGCATTTAGGGAATATGCATTTAGGGAATATGCATTTAGGGAGGTCTGACTGTATTAATTTTCTCGTCAGAATTACGGTTTCGAGATTTTGGATGTCAGGATTTTGTGGTAGAATCCATAACATCGGATTCATAATACTTGCTGGTATAAAGATATATATACCTTATTGAAGTATGGTATGATGAAAATCTAGAAATTACTATATATTATGAATATAGAGAATATATTAATCGAAAAAAATTTCGATCTCACATAATCAATGTGGCGGCTGAAGCTGAGATTGTGGATCTCTGTTTAAATCTATAATACCTACTAAAATTCACTTGTACTCTCTTATTAATAAAACTATCCCTAAACCCTAACCTAAATCTAAAAAAAAAAGCTAACAAAAAAGATCCAAAAAATTTTTCAAAACCTCAGCTTCAACCATCACAATCAATAATATTACGTAAAAGTCGCAGGTAAGCATTTAATTTCCGGAGCAGAGCGGAAGAACTCAAGGCAAGACAATGGGAACAGGTGCGACCGTTCAAATTCGTAGATAATTTCTATACAATTACATGTGATTGTCAACCAATCATATCTTAAGTTTTAGCAAATCGGCCAATCAGATTACAAAAAAAAAGTTGTGGGATTCACAGGGTTTCAAAGAATATGTTATAGAACGAAGTATAAACATTACAGCTGTTTGCAAAAAGATGTGAAACAGTGCAGATCACCATATCACTGGAAATTCGCGAGATTTCCTTCTTTTTTTACAGCTGTTTGCAAAAAGACGTAGAACGATGCAGATCACTATATTACTGGAAATTCACGAGATTTCCAAGATTTTCTTCTTTTTTTAAATCTAACTTGTGATAGTGAAAGATTCTCACTAATTTCCTGGTAGATATAGTATCTTTGGCTATACGAAGAGTACTGAATCAAGTTACAGCTGTTTGCAAAAAGATGTGGAACGGTGCAGGTCACTGTATCACTGGAAATTCGCGAGATTTCCAATATTTTCTTCTTTTTTTAAATCTAACTTGTGATAGTGAAAGATTCTCACTAATTTCCTGGTAGATATGGTTTCTTTGGCTATACGAAGAGTACTGAATCAAGTTAAAAATAATTTTTAATAATATTTATTTCGAAATGATCTTAGATGTATAGTGAAAACTATAGTATTTCTTTGAACTATAGTATTTATTTGATACGATAGTTATTTTAAAAAGCAAAATTTCTTCATGTTGTAAAAGTTTTCATTATTAGATAGCTCATAGTATTAATTATAACGGATTTAATACTGTAATATTTTTATTAATTTATCATTTATGTTATCTTTGCTTTCTTATCTTTATTAAAAATCCATAAAAATACACATTGTACAAATAAATAATTCTTTTCGAGTATAA